AACATCAAAAAATGGAAAAATTGAAGAACCGAAACATTACAAAATCCCAGAACTGAAATACTGAAAAACTGAAAAATGGAAAGAAAATTGAAAAATCGAAAAAGTGAAAAAATTCAAAACTGAAATCTTGAAAAACTGAAAAATGGAAAGAAAATTGAAGAATCGGAAAAGTGAAAAAATCCAAAACTGCAACATTGAAAAATTCAGAAATCGAAAAATTGAAAAATCACAATTGAAGGATGAATTGAAAAATCGAGAAATTGAGAAATGGGGAAATAAAAAAATCAGTTAATCGAAAAATTGAGAAATCGAAAAATTTAGAAACGTCAAAAATTGAAAACCGATAAATAAAAAAAATTAAAAATCGTAAAACTGAAACATCGGAAAATTGAGAAATCGAAAAATGAAGAAATTCCAGAAACCGAAAATATGAAGAATCGAGAAATCGAAGAATCGGTAAATTGAAAAATCCCAACAGTAATATATCGAAAAATTGAGAAATCGAAATGGAGCAAATCTGAAGTATCGTAAAGTTAATAAATTGAAAAACTGAAAATTTTTGAAAAAAAAATCGTATCAAAAACTAAAAATTCAAAAAATCGAGAAATTGAACAATCAAAAAATCAAAACATTGAAATCCCAGTAAGTTGATAAATAGGAAAATTTAAAAAACACAAATTTTAAAAATCCAAGAATTGAACAAAAAAAATCCAAGCCTGAAAACTCAGAAAATCGAATGATCGAGAACTCAAAACATCAAAGAAAACAAAAAATCTAAAATTTAAAAATTCGACAAATTGAAAAATCATGGAACTGAAAAATCGAAAAGTCGAAATGGTGAGAAATCTAAAAACCTAAAACTTTAAAAACTGAAAAATTAAAATATCGAAAAATTTAAAAACCGAGAAAACACAATATCAAAAATTTGAAAAATTAAAGAAACGAAATATTGCAAAATTCTAAAGCTGAAACATTGAAAAACCTAAAATTGGAAGGAAAATTAAAGAATCGAAATAGTGAAAAAATCCCAAACTGAAACATCGAAAAATTGGGAAATGGTGAAATGGGAAAATCAAAAAATCGGTCTAAAGAGTTTAGACAGTACTTCCCTCGCTATCGGAAACGTGACGACTGCATGCCAAAAATCGAAACATTAAAAAATCAAAAAATGAAAATATCTAAAAATTGAAAATCCAGAAATTGAAAAGTTCTCAATATTCAAATCCTGAAAAATTGAGTATTGAAAGCTTGAAAAATTGAGAAATCCAAGCATCAAAAAATAGTAAAATTGAAAAATATAAAATTTAAAATATCCAAAAATTGAGAAATCAAAGAAAAGAAAAATCAAAAATTTAAAAATTCGAAAAATTGAAAAATTAAAATATAGAAAAATTGAAAATTTGGGAAATCGAAACACCAAAAAAATCAAAAAAACAAAAATCTCAAATTCAAAAATCAAAAAATTCAACACTCGAAATGCCAAAAAGTCGAAAAATCGAAACATCGGAATGTTCAAAAACTGAAACATGGAGAAATCAAAACATCAATAGTAGAGGAGTCAAAAAATCAAAAAATTAAGAAATCAAATTAGACCAAAATAGAAAAATTGAAAAGTTAATAATTGAAAAATTGAAACATTTTAATGAAAAAAAAAAAATCGGTAAACCGAAAATTGAAAAATCTAAAAATCGAGAAATTGAACAATCTAAAAATTAAACAACTTAAAAATCGAAGAATTGGAAAACCAAAAAATTTAAACCGAGAACTTGAAAAATCGAATAATCGACAAATCAAAACATCAAAGAAACCAAAAATATTAACGGAAAATCTAGAACTTAAAAATTGAAAAATTAAAATACCTATCGAAAAATTGAAAAACCGAGAAATCGAAACATCAAAAAATGGAAAAATTGAAGAACCGAAACATTACAAAATCCCAGAACTGAAATACTGAAAAACTGAAAAATGGAAGGAAAATTGAGAAATCGAAAAATTTAGAAACGTCAAAAATTGAAAACTGAAAAATAAAAAAAAATAAAAATCGTAAAACTGAAACATCGGAAAATTGGGAAATCGTAAAATTAAGAAATTCGAAAAACCGAAAATATGAAGAATCGAGAAATCGAAGAATCGATAAATTAAAAAATCCCAACAGTAATATATCGAAAAATTGAGAAATCGAAATCGAGCAAAACTGAAGTATCATAAAGTGAATAAATTGAAAAACTGAAAGAGAAATTGAACAATCAAAAAATCAAAACATTGAAATCCCAGTAAGTTGATAAATAGGAAAATTTAAAAAACAAAAATTTTAAAAATCCAAGAATTGAACAACAAAAAAAAATCCAAGCCTGAAAAGTCAGAAAATCGAATGATCGAGAACTCAAAACATCAAAGAAAACAAAAAATCTAAAATTTAAAAATTCGATAAATTGAAAAATCATGGAACTGAAAAATCGAAAAGTCGAGATAGTGAGAAATCTAAAAACCTAAAACTTCAAAAACTGAAAAATTAAAATATCGAAACATTGAAAAATTGGGAAATGGAGAAATGGGAAAATCAAAAAAATCGGTCTAAAGAGTTCAGACAGTACTTCCCTCGCTATCGGAAACGTAACGACTGCATGCCTATTATGTTTTTTTTTCACATTAGCTTTCAAAGCATTCGGTTTTGTAGTTCCTGATTAAATCAATAAAATAAATTTCCGCATTCATTAAATTTTTTTAGTCACTCTGTATCTCCGAATCCAAAAAATATGAATGGAATGATAAATCACAAGTACAGACTCATCATATTTTGTACATTTTAGATAGGATTTATTCAGCAAAATTTTGAGTTGACGTCATGAATTTTTTAGAGGGGATAAGTAAATATATTGTGATTAAAACGGTCCTAGTTTAATAACAAAAAAATATTGTTCGTCTATGAAACAAGCTCGTCTTAGACAAAGTATTCGTAAAAAAAATATGTCGTAAAAAAATGTACGTATACTGGTCCCGATTGCGATTATGGTTTAAATATCTTTTAGATAATCCTGACATGGATGCAGAACATTTGTGACAGCTAGAGAGGTTTTTTTGAGAAAATTGTCTTTGAATTTAGACCAAATTGAAATAGACACTAGGCAACAGGCACATTTGGCCAAAAGAAAGAGAAATTAGGGTTACGGCTTCAAATTTTGGACGGATTTACAAACTTAGACCCACTACAACAACAGCTAAAACTGTGGAGTCTCTGTTGTACAGTACATTTAGAGGTAATAGTCTTATATACTATGGACAACAAAGTGAGGAAAAAGCTGTCAAGTGTTTTGAAATAAATAAAAATATAAAAACTGAACGGTGTGTCTTTCAAAACAATTTCCTTACTTGGCTGCTAGTCCAGACAGGGTTCTAGAGGATAGGAGTGCATTAGTCGAAATTAAATGCCCTTCAAAATCGCAAGATTTGTCTCCCGAAGAAGCGGTTAGAAAAAAAATAATCAAATTTTGTACATTGACAGACAGAGAATTGAAAGTAAAAAAAATCATGATTACTACTTTCAAGTCCAATGCTTGTTACGGGTATTTCACAAGTTTATTTTGTTGTGTGGATACCCAAACGAATTAATATAGAAAAAAAACGAAGAAATATGTAAAAAGATGGCAGATAAACTTGGCAGATTTTACTTTGGCGCATTATTGCCCGAAATAATTGATTTAAGAAGAAAGAGGAACCTGCTTTTGCTAGAGATTTTTTTAAAATAAATAAAATTTGTTTCTATTTTTTTATGTACTTTAATAATTTATTAGGAGTACATTTTTCATCACCAAGACTTCCATATTTTTATTATAAATATATTTTGAAAATGATCTCTCGGCAAATGAAAACATATACGAGCACTTTTTTCGAGTAAACAATGAAGGGAGAAGTTACTGGGCGTAGGGCTTTTTTAAAACACCTCCTTTCTGGGATAAGTAGTAGATACACTTAGCTACTTATACGTGTTAAACAAAAGCTGTATTTTATATATTTTTATGACCCACCACTGACCCGGAAATGACCGGCATTCAGGCAAGACTTCTATCATTACGGGTACTAAGACCAAGTAATGATATGCATTGATTAGTTTTTTATTATTATTATTATAAAAATGTTTATTAGTTTTATTAATTAATAAAGTAAAATATATATTAACAATAATGTTACAATGAATTTTTAGTAATCGTGTGTATTGAATTCATGATCCTGATTGGAGTAAAAATATTATAGTTCTCCAGTTTTAATTCGGTTTTATGATAGTACCTCATTGCGTAAAAGTTAATTTCCTTAACAATAGATTACTACGGCCGGTCCTGGCGGCTTGTTATAAAACTGAGTTCCTTGCCATAAATTAGAAAAATCAGCCGAGAACTCTAACAATCAGCTTATGGTAGAGCAGGCGATAAGGGTTTTACCTGGAAAGTCGCTTCCGTAAATTTTAGTGGCGCTCCTATCGGCAAACTACTGAACTAACGGCTCAAAATCTGTCGAATTGATAGCCATTTTTTCAATAATTGTTACTTTTTGTTAAAAACTCTGCTAACCAATAGATCATTAATTTTCCTCTGATAAGTATTCCTGTTAAAATTATTCGATGTATTTTGCATTAATTTGTGGTATATTTTGATTTTAATAAACACATTATTATTTAATCAAATTGTACCACTAACAAACATTTAATGACTCTGCGGCCTGTAAAAAGTGATGTTTTATCCATGTGCGAATTTTCAAGCGATTCTATGATGGTTATGACTCAAAAAACTTGAAAAGAAAACATACAATGGTGCTTTTTTTACGATATTTGTCCGCCATATTTTTTTAATTGATTGAACTGGTCTCTGCACTCTAGAATATGAAAAAAGCTGCAGTTTGATGTATGATACATCTATATTAATATCATTTCTTCATACAAAAAACCAAAAAAATATTATACCTCGTCTAGCGAGCCCCCTTAAACTAACTGGCTCTTGCATTTTCAGTATGGCCGCGCCCCCATCCACTGGGCGTCTTCCCGCGGCAACGTGGAGATAATGGAGATGTTAATCGCCGCCAATTGCGACATCGAGGCTCGTGATAAGGTAAAAACAAGCGCTTTGAGCTAGCCGCCACTGTGTGTTAACTTTTGCAGTATGGAATGAGGCCTTTACTAATGGCATGTTGGCATGGCCATCGCGAAGCTGTGCAGCTTCTTATCAACACCGGTGCTTGCTCTAACGCAGTCAACAAGGTAATTTATAAAATTTCCTAGGGGGACTGTGACCCCAGACGACGTCGAAAGACACACTCACTTACTAAGCGAGCTTTTTAATTCTGAATGTAACTTCGTGCCAACTCACACTTTCTCTTTTTAGAAAAACTACACACTTTTGATGTGCGCAGCCCGAAACAACAAAATCGAAGTAGTGAATTTTCTCATCGACACGCTCGAAGATGTTCGCGTGGACGCGGTGGACATCGAGGGTCAAACAGCGCTTTTCCACGCGGCGATGGGTGGACACACGTCGGTGGTCCAACGTCTCCTAGACCAAGGAGCTAATCTCGATAAGAAAAACAAGGTAGGACGAAGTAGCCGGAAAATGTCACAGACTAATAAAGTTATTAGAACAATTTCGTCGAGATTTCCCTGGAGGTTCGCCCGCTTGAGGAAGTTTAATTGGTTCTTTGTTTGACTTTGCGGTTTCGGGGCCCTGCTAATTATTTGTAGGTGTTTTAATTGGACATAAAAACTTTTAACAAGGGCATTGAGGAAATATTTTTTCGAATGCTTGCGGGGGTCGGAGTTTTCAAGTTTAATAAATAAGATGAAATCTTGGAAAAAGTATCACTGTGATTCAAAAAACATTACTGCGATATGTAAAAGTCTAGCTTTAAGGATTATTCTTTAGTAATCTGAAAGCTCGAGTCTTTAGAGAGCTTTAATAGATAAATAATTTTTAATTACTGTGTTGGAAGATTAAAGGGTTGGATTTACGGGATTAGCTCGGATATGCAAATGTCGCCGCCTCAATATTCAAATAACAAAGCTGCGAAATATAAAAATAAAAGCCTGACTCAACTTCTTGAACCCTCGAAATTAAAAAATCCGTCTAGTGTTTGCTGAGATAAGATTGATTTTGGCAAATGATAAATCTTCTTCATTTTCTGTTATTTCACAATTCTTCGTTTCGTCATTTTCTTTGTTTTTTCAATGTTTACTTCGATTTTACAATATTTCGCACTTTTTCTATTTTAAAGTTTCTCAATTTTTAATCTTTCCATTTTTTAATTTGTCGTTTTTTCAATTTCTAACTTGTTTATTTAAAATTTTCGGATTTTCCAAAGATTTCGTCTTATACCTTTTCGTTTTTCTTTTGATTTTTTAATTTTACAATTTTGAAGTTTTTCATTTTTTGATTCGAAAATTTAAATTGTTGTTTCAATTTTTCGATTATTAAATACAATAATTGAAAAACGGAGAAATTCTAAAATTCTAAAATGGCAAAACTGAAACTTCGAGAAACTGAAAAATCTAAAATTTCGTATTGGAAAAAATGTTGAAAATCAGGACACTGAAAAATCGAAATGTTGTAAAATTAAAGAAAATAAAAAACCTAAACAAAAAATTACAAATCGAAAAATTGAAAAAGTTAGAATTGAAAACTCGAGAAATCTTAAATCGAAAAATTGCAAAACCTAAAAACTGCAAATTTTTGTGGGTGGGATTAGTTTTACAATTTTTATTTAGATTGCACTATTTATCAACCCAAATTCCCTTTTTCATCAAAAAAATGAGTAATCAAGAAGAAAACTTGCTAAGATAAAATTGATTTAATGATAAACCTTCAAGAAAATAGAGGGTGGGTGGGCGGGATTAGTATTTGCTAAGATAAGACTGATTTTGTCAAATAATAAATCTTTGCATTATCATTTTATCGCTGTTATATCACAATTCTTTGTTTCTTCATTTTCGATTTAACAATTCTTAAATTTTTCAGTTTTGCAGCTTTCGGATTTCTCAATTATTCGATTTTACGATTTCTTTAATTTTCAATATCTCGATTTTACAATATTTCGCACTTTTTCTATTTTTAAGTTCCTCAATTTTTTTATTTTCCAATTTTTCAAGTTGTTCATTTAAAATTTTCAGGTTTTCCAAAGTTTTCGTCTTCTTCGTTTTTCTTTTGATTTTTTAATTTTATAATTTTGAAGGTTTTCATTTTTTGATTTGAAAATTTAAATTGTTAATGTTTCAATTTTTCGATTTTAAAATACAACAATTGAAAAACGGAGAAATTCTAAAATTCTAAAATGGTAAAAATGAAAATTCAACAAAATGAAAAATGAAAAATTTCATATTGGAAAAAAATGTCAAGCCATTGAAAAATCGAAATGTTGTAAAAATAAAGAAAATAAAAAAACCGAAACAAAAAATTGCAAATCGAAAAATTGCAAAACCTAAAAACTGAAAATTTTTGTGGGTGGGATTAGTTTTACATTTTTTGTTTAGATTCCACTATTTATTAACCCAAATTCCCTTTTTCATCAAAAAAATTAGTAATCAAGAAGAAAATTTGCTAAGATAAAATTGATTTTATGATAAACCTTCTAAGAAAATAGCGGGTGGGTGGGCGGGATTAGTATTTGCTAAGATAAAACTGATCTTGGCAAATGATAAATCTTTGTTTATCGCTTTTATATCACAATTCTTCGTTTCTTAATTTTCTATTTAACAATTCTTAAATTTTTCAGTTTTGCAGTTTTCGGATTTCTCAATTATTCGATTTTCCGATTTATTTAATTTTCAGTATTTCGATTTTACAATATTTCGCATTTTCTCTATTTTTAAGTTTCTCAATTTTTTTAATATTTCCGTTTTTCAATTTGTCGTTTTTTCAATTTTTCAAGTTGTTCATTTAAAATTTTCAGATTTTCCAAAGTTTTCGTCTTATACCTTTTCGTTTTCCTTTTGAGTTTTTAATTTTACAATTTTGAAGGTTTTCATTTTTTGATTCGAAAATTTAAATTGTTGATGTTCCAATTTTTCGATTTTAAAATACAATAATTGTAAAATGGAGAAATTCTAAAATTCTAAAATGATAAAAATGACAATTCGAAAAACTGAAAAATCTAAAATTTCATATTGGAAAAAATGTCAAGCCATTGAAAAAGCGAAATGTTGTAAAAATAAAGTAAATAAAGAAACGAAACAAAAAAATACAAACCGAAAAATTGAAAAATTTTTCATTTTACATTTTTTGTTTAGATTCCACTATTTATCAACACAAATTCCCTTTTTCATCCAAACAAAAATGAGTAATCAAAAAGAAAATTTGTTAAGATAAAATTGATTTTATAATAAACCTTCTAAGAAAATAGAGGGTGGGTGGGCGGGGCTAGTATTTGCTAAGAAAAGAGTGATTTTGGCAAATGACATAACCTCTAAGAAAATATAATAATATAATAATTTTTCACATTTCAATTTGTTGACTTACAAAATTTTCAATTTTTCCTTTCTTGAATTTTTCGATTTTTCAATTTTTCGTCCCCTCAATTTGTTAGGTGCTTGAATTTTTATCTTTCATTTTCCAGATTTTGTATTATCATTTTCTCGCTTTTATATCACAATTCTTCGTTTCTTCATTTCCTTGATTTTTTCAATGTTTACTTCGATTTTGTAGTTTTTCGTTTATTCAGTTTTCGATTTTACAATATTGCGCACGTTTTCTATTTTACAGTGTCTCAATTTTTAATCTTTCCATTTTTTTAATTTGTCGTTTTTCCAATTTTTCACTTGTTCGTTTAAAATTTTCAGATTTTCCAAAGTTTTCGTCTTATGCTTTTTCCTTTTTTTTTTATTTTTCAATTTTTCGACTTCTCAGTTTTTAATTATTCAATTTTTCGTTCTTGCAGTTTTTCGATTTTACAGTTTTTCGGTTTTTTGTTTCCTTAGTTTTAATTTATCGATTTTTCAATTTTCAAAATTTTTATTTTTTTCGTTTCCCAGTTTTTCGATTTCTCAATTTTTACAAGATTCAATTTTTCAATCTTATAGTTTTCAATGTTCCAGTGTTCGGATTTTTAGTTTCTCAATTTTTCGATTTCTCATTTTTTCAATATTTGAAATTATAGATTTTATACAGTCTATCAGAAAAAATATTCTAATTTTTTTTTTTTTCAGAATATCAGTTTTAATAAATTTGTTTTTTTTGCATTGAAAAATTAAGAAAGTGAAAAATTGAAAATGTGAAAAATCGCAAAATTGTGGAAAGGAAAAATTGAAAAATTGTAAATCAAAGAACTAAGGAAACGAAAAATTTGAATCGAAACATCAAAACTGAAAAATCGAAAAATTAAAAATTCGAAAAACTGAGATATGGAAATAACAAAGAACTGAAAAACGAAAAATCGAAACACCAAAAAATCAGAAAATTGAAAAATCCCTCAGTATCATTCTGCTTCCCCAATGTTTTAGAACATTGTTGTCGAAATGAGTCTACACACATTAAGAAAAAAAATGCAAAATTTAGCCCCGCCCACCCACCCTATCTCAATTCTGATGATTTTTTTATTCGTCGTGAGTCAAGAGGCGGAGCTCTACGAAAAATTAAAAGCACGCTTCTGAGAATCGTGTTGTCCAAAGAATACTATGTAACTATATTGAGAAAAAAATAAAGCCAAAGATTAAGTCCCACCCATACCTGCCATTATCTAAATAGAAATGAAGTTTTCATTCGTTGGCAGACCTAGGGGCGGAGCCTAATTGCAAAATCCATCTTACCTTATAAAAAATTACCGTTTTAAATGTGTTTTAAGTTTCTAAGAATAAAAAAAATCACCACAATTGAGATAGGGAGGGTGGGCGGGCTTATATTGGCTCCCCAAAACTATCCGACCGAGACTCGTAACGTCAATTGTAGATATCGTTCCAACACTCCCCCTCGAGTCAAGGAGTCCATTAACGAATGAAGTCGTTGGTACTGCGTTTCGTATGATGTTATAATATGTAGAACTTACTGGAAAGTACCGAAGTTCGAGTGTATAAATACAATACTAATAGGTGTTGTAGGTTAAAGCCCTCAATTGATGCAAAAGCTTCAACTTTGAAGTTATAATAAGTTCCCAACTAATTTAGTAATTTTGGATTATACTTAGACACGTAGGCGCTTTTGTTAAATCTAGAGAGTAAGTTCTCTTGAGAATAGCTTTCGGAAAGCACAAAAATAATGTTTATTAAATAGAATAAAGCTCGCGTTTTTTTTTTCCAGGAAAGCAGAACAGCTCTCCATGTGGCCTGCGAAAGGGGCAACTGGGAAGTCGCTAGTTTGTTACTGTCTTACGAGGCAGATATGGAATCTAAAGACATCCTTGGCAACACTCCTTTACACGTTTCCGCTCAACACCAACAAACCCGGTTGGTCCAAATACTTCTGGAGGCAGGAGCGGATCCTGATAACGACAACACAGTAAGTTTATATATGCTTTTACGGTTAATTGTGTTAGTTCAAGCCTTGATTTTAACTAATTTTGTCTAATATTGTTAGAAAGGATTCACCGCTTTACACATAGCCTGCAGCTTAGGGAGCAGAGGGATTCTGGAAGCTTTATTACAGCATGGAGCTTCGATTAATAAGCAAAATAAGGTGAGTGGATGTTTGTCGTTGAAAATGTATCACGCGTTAATGTCATTTTTGTATCCACGAAAATTTTATTGCTACAGTAGGTAGAATTCTGTGTCAAGGACGCCAAACCGCTTTAACAACTTGGAGCTTTCCGTTGTTAAAAACATTCCTCCTTCACGTTCCATTACTAAATCATACGTTTAAATTTGAAATAATGTGTATCTCCCGACTGCTCCAAACGTATTACACGGCTGAAAAAGCTTAATTACCCTCAAAGCTGTTTATCTTTTCGTTTAGGCAAACATATCTCTGCAAAAAAGCGCCCAAGTAATCCCATGTACGTAAACAACGATGACAGCAACCCATTAATATTAATGACAAAGATCGAACAGGTCGAGGGACCTTAATTAACTTCTCGACTCGTGTACGAGTTTAATTGAAATGTATTTTTCTCTTTGTACAGGCTGGAAATTCGCCCCTGCATCTCGCCTGCCAGGCCAACGCGGGGGAAACCGTGGAAATACTTATCTCGAAAGGAGCCGACCTGAACTGTCTCAACACGGTAAGTATTGTACTCGTAGATCGCTTTAGTTCGCGAGAAAACACAAAGTGAAAAGAAATCTTAAAGCAACTGGGTGGTGGTTTGTCTCCTGTCCTAAACGATTTTACTCAATGTGCAAAAAACCTGCCGCATATTACACGCTCTACTCCGTCTTCGCAAAATAGTCTGCGGTTCAGGCTGGTGCTTTATTTCAATTAAAAGTCAAACCATAAGTAGTAGAATTACTCTGTAGAAAATTTCAAACAACAAATAATTTACATGATGCTGCAAAAACAAGTGGTAGAATTAGAATAAATATGAGAAAATATAGTAACTAAATAATATCCGGTGATTTTTGAATTTCGCTTACAAACCTTATACTACAAGGAAGAATTCACTTATACATAGATTGACAAAAGTGACACCCCCTCCCCCCATTTCTTCTAGAGAAGTGAAGATATTTCAGCTCAAACATTCATCATAACTGAGATAGGGTGGGTGGGTGGGGCTTATACTTTGTCCATTTTTTCTTAATATACACAGTCGTCTTTTCTAAACAAGAAACTGATAACATGTTTAACTATCCTGTTGTTGAAAGAAAATTCTATATATAAAAAAAAAACAAAAATTAAGCCCCGCCCACCCGCCCCGATCTCATTTGTGATGAGTTTTTCATTCCTAATCAGACCGAAGGGCGGAGTTTAATTGCAAAATTCTCATTTCTCTACAAGAAATTATCATATGAAGTATGTTTTTACATCAATATTTCTCTAAAAAATTCTACCCTTTTAAAAACATATTTCATATGGCAATTTCTTGTAGAGAATGGAGATTTTGCAAACTAAACTGCGCCCTTCAGCTCATAATGAATAAAACGTTTATCACAATTGAGTAAGGGTGGGTGGGCGGGGCTTATATTTTGTCCATTTTTGCTTAATATACGAAGTCTTCTTTTCCCAACAAGAAACTTACAACACGTTTAACTATCATGTTGTTGAAAGAAAATTTTATATATATAAAAAAAAAATTGACAACAATCGGTCCAGCAGTTTTGGATATTACGTGTCTAATAAAAATGGATACAGACAGACAAACAGACGGAAATGGTACTTTTTTCGTACTCTAGGAGCCTTGAGAAGGTTTAACATTCTTAAAAAAAAAGACAGTTGGGACCGCTGAAGCGGTTTCACATTCTTAAAAATATATATTTGGGACCTCCGAGAAGGTTTCAACTTCTAAAAAAAATACAGTTCAGGTCCCCAAGAAGATTTAAACTTTTTTAAAAAAAGACAGTTGGGAGCCCTGAGACAGTTTCACATTCTTAAAAAAAGACTGTTGGAACCGCCGAAAAGGTTTCCTATACTAAAAAAAAATATATTTGCCGCCCCTGGGAAATTTTCAACGTCTAAAAAAATACAGTTCGGGTCCCCGAGAAGCTTTAATCTTCTTTAAAAAAAAGACGGTTGGGAGCCCTGAGAAGGTTTCACATTCTTAAAAAAAGACCGTTGGGACCGCTGAGAAAGTTTCACTATCTAAAAAAAAGACAATTCGGGCCCCCGAGAAGGTTAAACCTACTTTAAAAAAAGAAAGTTGGGAGCCCTGAGAAGGTTTCACATTCTTAAAAAAAAGACAGCTGGGACCGCTGAGAAGGTTTCACATTCTTAAAAATATATATTTGGGGCCCCCGAGAAGGTTTAATCTTAAAAAAAAAAGGCGGTTGGGACCTCTGAGAAGGTTTCACATTCTTAAAAAAACCAGTTGGGGTCTCCCAGATGGTTTTAAATTCTTAGAAAAAGAAGAGAGTTGGGGCTCGGACGCTCGGAGGATATTTCACTTTCGTTAAAAAATAAAATAGGACCCATAAGAACGTTTCACATTCTTAAAAAAAGACTGTTGAGACCCATGAGAAGGTTTCAACGTCTAAAACAACAGTTCATGCCCTCGAGAAGGTTTAATCTTCTTAAAAAAAAAGACGGTTTGGAGCCCTGAGAAGGTCTCACGTTCTTAAAAAAAAGGACAGTTGGGACCGCTGAGAAGGTTTCACTGTCTAAAAAAAACAGTTCGGGTCCTCAAGAAGGTTTAATCTTCTTTAAAAAAAAAGAAGGTTGGGAGCCCTGAGAAGGTTTCAAGTTCTTAAAAAAAAGGACAGTGGGGATCGCTGAGAAGGTTTGACATTCTTAAGAATATATATTTGGGGCCCCCGAGAAGGTTTAATCTTTAAAAAAAAAGACGGTTGGGACCTCTGAGAAGGTTTCACATTCTTAAAAAAACCAGTTGGGGTCTCCCAGAAGGTTTTAAATTCTTAGAAAAAGAAGAGAGTTGGAGCTCGGAGGATTTTTCACTTTAGTTAAAAAATAAAATAGGACCCATAAGAAAGTTTCACATTCTTAAAAAAAAACTGTTGGGAACCATGAGAAGGTTTCAACGTCTAAAAAAACAGTTCGGGCCCTCGAAAAGGTTTAATCTTCTTAAAAAAAAGACGGTTCGGGCCCTGAGAAGGTTTCACGTTCTTTAAAAAAAGCACAGTTGGGACCGCTGAGAAGGTTTCACTGTCTAAAAAAAAGACAATTGGGGCCCAAAAAAAAAAGAGAGTTGAGAGCCCTGAGAAGGTTTCACATTCTTAAAAAAGACAGTTGGGACCGCTGAAACGGTTTCACTTTCTTAAAAATATATATTTGGGACCCCCGAGAAGGTTTCAACTTCTAAAAAGAAAACAGTTCAGGTCCCCGAGAAGATTTAAACTTTTTTAAAAAAAGACAGTTGGGAGCTCTGAGACGGTTACACATTCTTAAAAAAAAGAGTGTTGGAACCGCCGAGAAGGTTTCTTATACTAAAGAAATATATAGTAGTTTTTAAAAAAAGAAAGTTGGGAGCCCTGAGAAGGTTTCACATTCTTAAAAAAAAGACAGTTGGGACCGCTGAGAAGGTTTCACATTCTTAAAAATATATATTTGGGGCCCCCGAGAAGGTTTAATCTTTAAAAAAAAAAGACGGTTGGGACCTCTGAGAAGGTTTCACATTCTTAAAAAAACCAGTTGGGGTCTTCCAGATGGTTTTAAATTCTTAGAAAAAGAAGAGAGTTGGGGCTCGAAGGATATTTCACTTTCGTTAAAAAATAAAATAGGACCCATAAGAACGTTTCACGTTCTTAAAAAAAGACTGTTGGGACCCATGATAAGGTTTCAACGTCTAAAAAAACAGTTCGGGCCCTCGAGAAGGTTTAATCTTCTTAAAAAAAGACGGTTTGGAGCCCTGAGAAGGTTTCACGTTCTTAAAAAAAAGGACAGTTGGGACCGCTGAGAAGGTTTCACCGTCTAAAAAAAAGACAATTCGGGCCCCCGAGAAGGTTGAACCTTCTTTAAAAAAAAGAGATTTGGGAGTCCTGAGAAGGTTTTACATTCTTAAAAAAAAGACAGTCGGGACCGCTGAGAAGGTTTCACATTCTTAAAAATATATATTTAGGGACCCCGAGAAGGATTAATCTTTAAAAAAAAAGACGGTTGGGACCTCTGAGAAGGTTTCACATTCTTAAAAAAACCAGTTGGACTCCCAGATGGTTTTAAATTCTTAGAAAAAGAAGAGAGTTGGGCGGGGGATATTTCACTTTCGTTAAAAAATAAAATAGGACCCATAAGAACGTTTCACATTCTTAAAAAAAGACTGTTGGGACCCATGAGAAGATTTCAACGTATAAAAAAACAGTTCGGGCCCTCGAGAAGGTTTAATCTTCTTAAAAAAAAAAGACGGTTGGGAGACTTGAGAAGGTTTCACGTTCTTAAAAAAAAGGACAGTTGGGACCGCTGAGAAGGTTTCACTGTCTAAAAAACAGACAATTCGGGCCCCCGAGAAGGTTGAACTTTCTTTAAAAAAAAGAGAGTTGGGAGCTCTGAGAAGGTTTCGCATTCTTAAAAAAAAGACAGTCGGGACCGCTGAGAAGGTTTCACATTCTTAAAAATATATATTTGGAGCCTCCGAGAAGGTTTAATCTTTAAAAAAAAAAGACGGTTGGGACCTCTGAGAAGGTTTCACATTCTTAAAAAAACCAGTTGGGGTCTCCCAGATGGTTTTAAATTCTTAGAAAAAGAAGAGAGATGGGGCTCGGAGGATATTTCACTTTCGTTAAAAAATAAAATGGGAGCCCTAAGAAGATTTCACATTCTTAAAAAAAAACTGTTGGGGCCCACGAGAAGGATTCAACGTCTAAAAAAAAACAGTTTGTGCCCTCGAGAAGGTTTAATCTTCTTTAAAAAAAAGACGGTTGGGAGCCCTGAGAAGGTTTCACATTTAAAAAAAAAAAGGCTAGTTGGGACCGCTGAGAAGGTTTCACATGCTTAAAAATATTAATTTGGGGCCGCCGAGAAGGTTTCACCGTCTAAAAAAAAGACAATTCGGGCCCCCGAGAAGGTTAATCTTCTTTAAAAAAAAAGACGGTTGGGACCCCTGACATTCTTAAAAAAACCAGTCGGGGTCTCCCAGATGGTTTTAAATTCTTAGAAAAAGAAGAGAGTTGGGGCTCGGAGGATATTTCACTTTCGTTAAAAAATAAAATGGGACCCCTAAGAAGGTTTCACATTCTTTAAAAAAGACTGTTGGGACCGCTAAGAAGGTTTCAACGTCTAAAAAAAACAGTTCGGGCCCCCGAGAAGGTTGAACTTTCTTTAAAAAAAAGAGAGTTGGGAGCTCTGAGAAGGTTTCGCATTCTTAAAAAAAAGACAGTCGGGACCGCTGAGAAGGTTTCACATTCTTAAAAATATACGTTTGGGGCCTCCGAGAAGGTTTCACTGTCTAAAAAAAGACAATTCGGGCGCCCGAGAAGGTTTAATCTTCTTTAAAAAAAAAAGACGGTTGGGACCCCTGAGAAGGTTTCACATTCTTAAAAAAACAGTTGGGACCTCCCAGAAGGTTTCACAACAATGACAAAAACAGTTGGAGCCCGGAGAAGGTTTACCCTTTAAAAAAAATGGGCCCCTGAAAAGGTTACACATTTTTTCGTCTTAACAAAACAGTTAGAGTCCTTGAGAAGTTAAAAAAAAAGTGAGGGTCCCCGAGAAGGTTTCACATTCTTGAAAAAAGAAATGCTTGGGGTCGGGAGAATATTTCACCTTGTTTAAAAAATAAAATTGGACCCCTGAAAAGGTTTCACATTTCGCATTCTTCCTTCTAAAAAAAAAACAGTTAGAGCCTCCGAGGAGGTTTCCCTTCTAAAAAAAAAATCAGTTGGGACCCCCTCAGAAGATTTCATATTCTTTAAAAGAAAAGCCAGTTGGGACCTCTGAGAAGGTTTCACATTTAAAAAAAAAGACAGTTGGGGCCCGGAGAAGGTTTCCCCTTTAAAAAAAAATTGAGACCCCTGAGAAGGTTTACCCTTAAAAAAAAGGGATCCCTGAGAATGTTTCAGTTTCTTCCTTCTTAAGAAAAAATGGAGTCCCCGAGAAGGTTTCATATTCCTAAAAAAAGATTGTTGGGACCCTCACAAAAGCTTCAATTCTTAAGAAAAAGTCAGTTGGAGCTTCCGAGAAAGTTTCATCTTCTTTAGGAAAAAAAGTCGTGGCCTCGAGCAGATTTCGCCTTCTTTAAAAAAATATATAATTGGGACCCCCGAGAAGGTTTTACATTTAAAAAAAGGACAGTTGGGGCCCCGAGAAGGTTTCCCCTTTAAAAAAAAAAATTGAGACCCCTGAAAAGATTTACCCTTTAAAAAAAATGGGATCCCTGAGAATGTTTCAGTTTCTTCCTTCTTAAAAAAAAATGGAGTCCCCGAGAAGGTTTCATATCCCTAAAAAAAAGATTGTTGGGACCCTCACAAAGGTTTCATCTTCGTTAGGAAAAAAATTCGGGGGCCCCGAGCAGGTTTCGCCTTTTTTAAAAAAATACATAGTTGGGGCCCCCGAAAACGTTTCACATTCTTAAAAAAAAAGAATGGTTGGGACCCAGAGGACGTTTCACCTTCTTTAAAAAAAAATTGAACCCCTGAGAAGGTTTCACATTTTTCCTTCTTAAAAAAGCAGTTTGGGCCCCCGAGAAGGTTTCACATTCTCAAAAAAGAAAAAAAACATTTGGGACCCCCGAGAAGGTTTCTCCTTTTAAAAAAAATGAGACCCCTGAGAAGGTTTTCCTTCTAAAAAAAACAGTTAGGACCTCCCAGAAGGTTTCACAACAATGACAAAAACAGTTGGAGCCCGGAGAAGGTTTACCCTTTAAAAAAAATGGGGCCCCTGAGAAGGTTACACATTTTTCCTTCTTAAAAAAACAGTTAGAGTCCTTGAGAAGTTAAAAAAAAGTGAGGGTCCCCGAGAAGGTTTCACATTCTTGAAAAAAAAATGCTTGGGGCCGGTAAAATGTTTCACCTTGTTTAAAAAATAAAATTGGACCCCTGAGAAGGTTTCACATTTCACATTCTTCCTTCTAAAAGAAAACAGTTAGAGCCTCCGAGGAGGTTTCCCTTCTAAAAAAAATCAGTTGGGACCACCGAGAAGATTTCCCCTAAGAAACTTTACCCTTTAAAAAAATGGGATCCCTGAGAATGTTTCAGTTTCTTCTTTAAAAAAAAAATGGAGTCCCCGATAAGATTTCATATCCCTAAAAAAAATTGTTGGGACCCTCACAAAGGTTTCAATTCTTAAAAAAAGTCAGTTGGGGCCTCCGAGAAGGTTTCACATTCTGAAAAAAGAAAAAAAACCGTTAGGACCCCTGAGAAGGTTTCCCCTATTAAAAAAAAATTGGACCCCTGAGAAGGATTTCCTTCTTAAAAAGAACAGTTAGAGTCCCCGAGAAGGTTTTACCTTCTTTAAAAAAAACAGTTGGGACTTACCAGAAGGTTTCACAACAATGACAAAAACAGTTGGAACCCGGAGAAGGTTTACCCTTTAAAAAAACTGGGGCCCCCGAGAAGGTTTCACATTCTTGAAAAAAGAAATGCTTGGGGCCGGGAAAATGTTTCACCTTGTTTAAAAAATAAAATTGGACCCTTGAGAAGGTTTCACATTTCACATTCTTCCTTCTAAAGGAAATCAATTGGGACCCCCGAGAAGGTTTCCATTAAAAAAAAGGACAGTTGGGGCCCTGAGAAGATGTACCCTTTAAAAAAATGGGATCCCTGAAAATGTTTCAGTTTCTTCCTTTTTAAAAAAAAATGGAGTCCTCGACAAGGTTTCATATCCCTAAAAAAAAGATTGTTGGGGCCCTCAGAAAGGTTTCAATTCTTAAAAAAAAGTCAGTTGGGGCCTCGAGCAGGTTTCGCCTTCTTTAAAAAAATACATAGTTGGGGCCCCCGAAAAGATTTCACATTCTTAAAAAAAAACTTACTATCGCCCGAGAAGCTTTTCACATTTTCCAATAAAGACAGTTGCGACCCCCGAAAAGGTTTCACACTTAAAATTTTTTTTCGAAAATTATTCCGACAGCAATTACTTCGCGTGTAGTCCAACAAATACCTCGTTTCTAATTAATATCATAAAATTTGGGTTTCTGTAAAGTAAAAACTAGAGGCATAATTAACACCCCGAGGTCCGCAAAAGTACGTTTGGACAATATGAAATATGTTTAAAGCAAACAGCCAATGGAGAAAAATGTAGATATTCTCAATTTCTCAGTCCATGCTTAACTTTATTGTTAATGTTTACACTCGAAAAATTCAACTATTAACAAGTTCAGATTACAAGCATTGATGTCAGACACACATAAATTTTTACAGTAATTTCGGCGATTATCTGTCTAATAATAATCCGGATAGACGGCAAACAAACAGACAGACAGACGGAAATATTATTATCAATATTAGTATTATGGTTTCAATGTTTAGCGACTGCAGTCTCCCATCCACATCGCCGCCGAAATGGGTCACACTGAAGTTTGCAAGTTGTTACTGGCGTCAGGTGCTGATATAGAGCAAAGGGAACAGGGCGGAAGAACTCCTCTGTACATCGCAGCGCGAGGGAGTTTCACCGCTATAGTTGATATGATCATAAAAACAGCTCGGCTGGACTACCCGGCGCACGTAAGTATCTCGCTTGAGGGAAGTAGAGGAGAGATATTACGTCGACTTTGCGAGAAATGGGACCCTTGCGATGAGTTGTCAACGTGCTAGGGTGGAGCAGAATTCGCGATATTGACTTACATAAATTCCGATAAAACATGGGGGATTTGTCGGTATTTCAGGTCGTGGATCGGACGAGGAATTTAAACGATTTACGGTGGCAATTGAAGCTACAAAATTACCCAACCAACATGTCTGCATTAATAAAACAGCGCAAGAAAGCACCAGTTGAGTCCCTCCCCGCCAGTTTTAAGTCTCACGAGAAGCCAATAATGCCAAGTCTCAATCTATATGCACACCACCTCGTCACCATTACCCACTAATTATTTAACTTTCTAAAAAACCCTTGCACCTTCCAAACATCCCATTACGACTCATCCAATTTTCATAGCGCGATGACAGCACATCACTGAATTTTTCAGCAAGCATCCCCTGAAATATTCGCGCACTCAAATCTGAATCTTGAATAAATAAAACAAGACGATATTTCAGGAGGAGAACGCACGAGGACACAGAAGAGACAGCGCGAGGCCGTCTTTAAGTTCAGCGAGGAGTCGCTGGAGGTCGTCGAAGGACGACAGGGGTTTAAAAGACAACGAAGCTCTGCGGGAGATCTTCTTTAAAGTGGCTTACAAGCAGCTGGAACCAGGCGAGTGGAAAATGCTAGCCCAACACTGGGCGTTCACAGAGGAACAAATCAAAGCTATAGAGCACCAATATAACGGTTTGTGCACTAGGTGGCTCAAAATAAACGAAAATTTAGGGGATGAACATGTTTGTTTAGGTCCATCCAGTTTTAAGGAGCACGGATTCAGAATGCTACTGATTTGGAGTTCCGGCCTGGCACCTGATGTTAATCCGGTTAGGGAGCTGTACGAAAGCTTGGCGGCGGTTGGCAAGAAAGCTGTCGCTGGTGAGTAGATATGACGATAGTTGAAAATAGTGACAGGGTGGTATTGTTTCAGATGCCATCCGCAAGAAGGTTGATCAAGAGATCGAGATAAGACGCAAAGGCAATCCAGACAACTGTTGCAGTATCTCTTAAATCTATAGGGAGCTATAACCGCACTGACTTATGAAGAGGACATATCTCGACCCACCTTAAACCCTTCTACATGGTCCAGATGTTGTGGAATTGTATTTTATAGAATATCGATCTAAATATTTATACAGTTGTGGACAAAAACGGGGTCTTCTGAATACGACAGAGGAACGAGAGCGTACTGTGATATCTAGTTCAATAATTACTGTGTTTTTGCACTTGAATCTATGTATAATAACTTACGAAATTCTAAAGGAGGCCAGAAATGTTGTTATAGTAGACATGGTATTGTGCCAAAATTTAAAATGTAACTAGAAACATGGACCAATCGAGTTTTCTTCACTTAGATTCTAGTGTATAGATCTTGTTTTTGTCCACTAGCGTATCACTTTACAAGTCTATTAAAAGTTAGAGTTTCTAAATGATTATCGAAATGTTTGTAGAACATCCATATTTTTGATCATTTACTGGATATATTTTCTGAAGTGAAAAACGAACCTTTGGATTTACAATTTCATAGCATGATCTAATGTCTGTTGCTTAAAAGAAGTTTACAAATTTGCATACTATATAATCAATCGTTTTCGAGTGTCGTTTGCTGAATACACGAAACAAAATGTACATAAGTATATTATAAAACTTTAGCCTTTTCTATTTCAACTCTTCTAGTCACTGCTAATATGACGAAGTTGCTAGATACAGATGGCACAATGTCTTGGAGTTGATTTTATATTCCCTGTTACCAAAAATCGTGCCGTCTGGATCTCGAAAGTTTTATGTAAGTTGTTAACTGAGACTTAAATTGTTATAGATTCACTCTGATTATGAAGACAGATCAAAGACAATGTTTCTTTTGTTATTATTTACTTTTGCAATGCTCAGACGAGCTGAAACAGAAAAAAGTAAGTCAACCGTAAAGTATTATCCGTGTGAAGATGAATTGAGTTATTGAATAAACCAATTTTTTCAAACATCTTCACACGATTAATCTCTTGACTACTTTCTGGAACATACCACAGTTCAAATAAAACAGTTGTCAGTGTATTGTGATCCGCACGATATGTCTACGTTTCAATTCTAAATATGTAACAATTTGATCAATTATACTTCATCCAAAATAAACCTATTTTTTTGAATATCTTACACTGTGTTGATTTTTATTGTCTGACAAGGAGCTGACGCTCTTTTTTCAGTTATTTCGAGTTTATTCTTTCAGAACTATCAAAAACGATCTCTAAAAAACACTCCTCAATGCATTGGAAGTATGCAACCAATATTACATCAAATCTACGTGTTATAAGAAATTGGTCGAAAATTGTTTCGATAGAACTTCCCTCGCATCGAGGAGTACTTGCTAACATAAGACTGATTGTGGCAAATTACATACCTCCTAAGAAAATAGAGGGCAGGTGGGCATAGCTAGTATTTGATTAACAATATTAAGAGTAATCACTGGAATGAAGAGGGGGTGGGTGGGCGGGGGGCTGTGGCGTGCTTATAAAAAATTCTGTATGGAAAAGTTAATGTTAGCCCCACCCACCCACCCGTTCTCTTTTTCGTCAGAAATCTATATTAATAAAAATGAATCGCCGAAATGTATGTACGCCCATAACTTGAGAACGACTGCACCGAATTGGACGATTCTTTTTTTTACGTGTTCCTTATCGTCAGGAGAAGGTTTATATGTAAGAATATTTATAAAAAATGAGACGGCTAAAAGATAAAAAAAAATTAAAAATTTTGCACGGGAATCGCCACTTCCGATGAATTTGAATAGTTGGCCATTCCTGACGGACCTGTCGCCTGACTGACGTGTCACACAAAACTATTTCTTCCGTGCGATTGTGAAAAGTATTAGTGCATTTCAAATCGTTCGTTTTTTCGCAAAAAAAAAAACGTCGTTTATTTTAAGAAGTCTTAATTAAAGTGAATTTGCGAAAGTGTCTTATTAATTTTGATCTGCCATTCTATTTACCTATGTTCACTTTGTTGGTTTCGACAAAACTTCAAACTTTACCGTTATTCGAGGATTTAATTTGAAGTTTTCAATATTTTAAAATTCTCAAGACACAATTTACAGATTTAATTAACTGTGAAAATAATTCTGTGTCATTATATTTTTTTTTCCTTAAGAATATAGAGTTAACAAAGTTAGTTGAGTTACATTTGCTCCACGTTGGCCACCAACGAGCGATTTTCATGATTTTTGTGAAACTTTGCTGGTTTTGAATTTGAATTTTCTGTCCTCGATAGTTGATGCTCAGCAAGAACCACGGGAAGGTCTGGAGCAGATCTCGCTAGGAAAGGAGAGGGCTAGGAATTGTTAATGAGGGATAGAACGTTATACAGTACAATACAACGGAAATACAATACAGGTACCTACAATCTAGCTACAATACAGAATACACTACAGATACAGATACAATTCAGATACAATACAAATGCAAAGTTAGTACCCACTGGAAGAAATTGCACCAAAAATTGAGAATGTTGCAAAATGAAAACCCAAGCAAGCACACCGATGGAACTCGAAACGAAATCTATTGGTCGCAGCGCTCACACGCCCAAGGGAGAACGCAGCCGCATAAATCCAAGGTCGTCTTACCTCATTCTCAAAGAACGATGCAACCCAGCGTCTAAGGGCCAAAAGAACCCCCCAGGCCAGAGCGTCTGACGACATGGAGAATTCAGTCTCGGAACCAAAGAATGCACTGTTGCAAAATTAAAACCCAAGCAAATGCACCGTGAAAACAAAGCATTTGCACCACTGGAGCTAAATTGGTAAGACCCAAGTTAAGTTAGTAACACATACAATATACAGTACAAAATGCTTCAATTACAAAAGTTACAATATACAAATTTCTCCACGTTTGCCGCCAAAGAGCGATGACTGTGCTCGCTCGTTGCTGTTGCCCAGCAAGAACCAAACAATACGAGGAGGTCTGGAGTGCGTCTTGCCATTAAAAGAGAGGACTAGGGTTTGATAGCATGGGTGAAGGACACCGTATTTTGTAAATTTGGACGCCGTAGTTTAAAAATGATGCATACGGTATTTTGTGAATTATGAACGCTGCACTTTGTATATATTCCAAAGCCGTACTTTATCAGTCCTGAATGCATGTTATTAACAACATATTTCAAAAAAAATCGGGCATTTTTGGAAAAATATCCACTTTCCTTCGTGTTCACAGCACGTAACAAAAAACATTTTCGCTAATATTTATTAACAATAAATTAGAAATTCGCGAACACGTGCTACTTTTAAGCCAAAACGGAGCTCCAGTGTTGCTGCTACCAGACCGGAATCAAAACTAAACACAGAGGTTGGAAAAATTGACCTTTTATCAGGTAGCTCACGTGACAGTGTGGTCATCGTACGTCACGATGAGATTGCAAAAATTATTTTTCATATTTTAGATCAGAAATTGTACATTTTCGGGGTTAATTTAACAACGTTTAAACAAACTAATTTGTTTTTGCTAACCTCGTGTTCTTAGGAAGATGAATTTCGGTTTAATTATCATATATTGATAGTTATCATATTTGAACATTATGAATTCTATTAATTATGTTTAAATTTTATTTAATTATATCGCGAAAATGTATAGCTTTGACCCACCAACTTCAATCGTTTCGAAAATTTATCCAAAATGTAAACATTGTCGACTAAACGAATCACGGAATCCGATAAATTAAAACTGAAGTCGTACTTACCCTGTTTTCCGTCTATTTCGGAAAAATATCCATTTTCGTTCGTGTTCACAGCACTAACACAACATATTTTCCGTAATATGCATTAATAATAAACTAGAAATTCGCTAAAACGCTCCACTTTTACGCCGAAATGAAGCGACGATCTTGCCGCCATCAAACAGAAATTAAAACTGAACACAAAGGACCTAAACACGTGACCTTTATACAAGTTGCTCAGGTGACATTGACGTCATCGTACGTCACGATGAGATTGCAAAATTTATTTTTCATATTTTGGCCGGGAAAATACATATTTTCGGGGATAATTTAACATTGTTTAAACAAATTGATTTGTTTTTAATAATTTCGGGCTTGTAGGACAACGGGTTTCGGTTTAATTATCATACATTGATGCTTATCATATTTAAACATTATAAATGATATTAATTATGTTTAAAATTTATTTATTTATGTCGTGAAAATGTATAGCTTTGATCAACCGATTTCAATCGTTTAGAAAATTTTCCCAAAATTTAAATATTGTCGAGTGAACGAATCACGGAATCCGATAAATTAAAACTGAACTCGAACTTACCCTGTTTTCGGTCCTTTTCGAAAAAATATCCATTTTCGTTCGTGTTCACAGTACTAATACAACACATTTTCACTAATATTTAAATATATAAATTAGAAATTGGTGAAAAGAGCCCTACTTTTAAGCCAAAACGGACTCAGATGTTGCTGCCACCAAACCGAAATCAAAACTAAACGCAGAGGACCGAAAAATGTGACCTTTTATCAGGTGGCTCACGTGACAGTGGCGTCATCGTACGTCACGATGAGATTGCAAAAATTATTTTTCATAATTTTGCTAAGAAATTGTACATGTTCGGGGTTAATTTAACAATGTTTAAACAAACTAATTTGTTTTTGCTAACCTCGTGTTCTTAGGAAAATGGTTTTCGGTTTAATTATCACATATTAATAGTTACCATATTTAAACATTATGAATTATATTAATTATGTCATTTCTGCAACTCTTGAGTTATTTTCTAAAATAAATTGACTGATCCATACATTTTTTTGTCACTGTAAAAGCAAATCTAAAAAATATTAATGCAATGATAAATTTTCGAAAATATACTGATGATATTTTGCACATTTTAGATAGGATTTATTCGGCAAAATCTTGAGATGACGTCATCAAGTTTTTGGGCTTGATAAACAGATATATTTTAATTAAAAACGTACCATGTCAAACAGTAACTTCAAAACGTCTGCAATAAATCTAAAAATTTTGTTTTGCAATTCTTGATTCAATCAATAAAATAAACTGACTCAGTGATTAATTTTTTTTGAGACACCCCCTATAAGCAAAACTAAAAAATATGAATGGAATGATAAATCACAAGTATAGTCTCATCCTATTTTGGATATTTTAAAAAGGATTCATTTGGCAAAATTTTGGGCTGACGTCATCAATTTTTTGGAGGAAGTAAGTATTATTTTGAATAAAAATTTATTATGCTTATCAGATGTTTAAAACATCTGCAAGATTTCAAATCATTCGGTTTGCAGATTCAAAATTAAGTTGTAGGTGAAACGAAGTTCACGGGGTCAGCTAGTATGAAATAAATAAATAGTATAACAAAAAAAAACTTTACAAAAGAACATAATTAACCCCGCCCACCCATCCCGCTTCCATTTCAGTGACCATTTTGTCTAGTCCGAATGAAGGGTTGATCTCAATTGAAGAGAAATAAAATAGTTAGAGTGACAAAAGCGTATAAATAATTTACCAGCTAAGAAAATTAGGGTGGATGGGAGGGGCTAGTACTTTCTAAGATAAACTGATTAACGACATACCCTCTAAGAAAATAGAAGGTGTGTAGGCGGGGTAGCACTCGTTAAGATAAGTTTGATTTGAATAAATGACTGAACAATATTAAGAGTAAACACTGGAATGAAGAAGGGGTGGGTGGGCGGTGCAATTGCTTGCTTATAAAAGGTTCTGTATGAAGAAATTAAACTTAGCCCCGCCCACCCACCCGTTCTCATTTTTTTTCAGATATAAAAGAAATAAGTAGTGTAACAAAAAAATATCATTAACGCTTATTATTAACAGCTTACGAAGACGCGAACAAGAATTTCTTTAAAAAAATGGTAAATGACTGAACAATATTAAGAGTAATCACTGGAATGAAGAAAGGGTGGGTGGGCGGGGCTATTGCTTGCTTATAAAAGGTTTTGTATGAAAAAATTAAACTTAGCCCCGCCCACCCACCCGTTCTCACTTTTTTTCAGATATAAAAGAAATAAGTAGTATAACAAAAAAAATATGATTAACGCTTATTATTAACAGCTTACGAAGACGCGAACAAGAATTTGTTAAAAAAAATTGGTAAATGACTGAACAATATCAAGAGTAATCACTGGAATGAAGAAGGGGT